CTTCTCACTTCTCCAAGAACCTATCGAATCCACATCGATACATCTCTGGCTGATATGTTGCTGTTTTATCAAGCATGAAAAATGAATGTGGTTTCTCTGTTGCCATTTCATAAGCCTCCGCAAACTCGGTTTTCTTAAGATTTTTGGAGTGATCATGTGCTAGACATTGGACATCTCTGTTGTCTAAGCCCTTGTACAACAGGAAGCACTTGGTATTTCTCCGGATATATTTCGGTACATCGTAGTATGATTGACAAAGATATATACAGTTACATTTCTTGTTCCGAGAAAGACTGAAGTATTCCATCACTTTTGTCATGTGCTTTTTGTCAATCTTGATGTCATCAAAAACTATCACCTTATTTTCCTGATCATCGAGATCCTCCACTGGACAAACCTTGTCTGGTTGTTCAATGATAAGTTTACCAGGAGATATTCCATTGTAAAACCCATCAAGAAGTTGATATTTTGGTTGTTGAGGATTTATTGTGTAAAGAATGACCTTATCACAGTTCAACCATGATTGTAGAAGCATATTACACAGGGTGTTTGTCTTCCCACATCCCGTTTGTCCAATCATCATGTAGTGACAATCAGGAAGCAAGTAGTGATGCTTTGTTGGTTTCTCCTTGTGCTCATCAAAGTTGATCATTTCCATGGTTTATACCTATAAAGGATCATTTTTATTGTTCCAACACTCTCAAGAAAGAATATATAGATAGATAAGGAAGATGAGTTCAAAATTTGGAACAGCCTTGGAAGCTAATTCGATCAATCTTGATTCCTATGCCAAAAAAAGGGAGTTATTTGTCATCAGTGAAGAAAAGCTGGATAAAGCTGGTGGAGATGTGGAGGGACATATTGACATGAACTATCATAGCATCTGCTTTCTTGGTTATGATGGAATAAGTACCACTTGTGCGGCACCAACTGGGTGGGTTACAAGTGAGATAGGAAAAGTGGATACTTCATTGAGGAAGCATGTTGATGATGATGAAACACGACTGAAGGTGAGTGGCACACTGAAAATGAAAGGAAATCTTGACATGGGTGGAATGGAAATTGTAAATGTGAAGCAACCATCAAGAAGTACATCTGTGGTAACATCAGAATATCTCAACACAACACAAAGTCGGACTCTCTGGACTAGTGGGCTCAACCAGATGAAAGGAAATCTTAACATGGGGTTGAAACACATCATCAATCTCCGAGACTCAACAGAGGATGACTCAGCAACAACAAAGGAGTATGTTGACAGAAAGGATGGAAAGGTGAAAGTCAAAAAAATGAAGAATATCATCCCGAGCTCATCAACCACTCCACCAGAAGCCACACTTCATGTCTTTCCTATTTACAAAAGTCCAACCAACAAACTGATTGTCATTGAGGATCTCTTCATAGTCGGTCAAGAAACAAGTGGTAGCAGAAGACGTTTTCATCTATCATATCGAGATGTGTTGGGAGAAAAAGCGGTAATCCGATACATTACTGAACATGATATAACAACGGCATATCTGACCTTCATCAACAACACATTGACATTACCAACTGTGAGTGGATACAATCTCATTGATGAATGGGAGCTGGTTTATCATGAGTACTGAAAATCTTAACTATATGTAGATAAAAAAATGGAAATACCTCATTTGTTAATACTGTTGACCATGCTACCATTTACTCTTGGTTGTATTCTTGATCCGTTGGATAAGGATGGACTCTGTTTGACAACGAAACCTCCTACTGTCATCCAAAGTGAAAGACCAACTCCGGTTGACATCCCTAGTGAAACATCACCACCAACAGACCATATCACTACACAACCCCCTTACGATCAGACGAAACCAGTAAACGGGGATAACCCTCATTTGACAGACCCCAATCTTTATCTTTTATCTCTGATTGTTATTCCTATAGTTGGTGCTGTTGTATATCTCATAAAACGTTCCAGTTGTTCGATGAGTGTTGACCCTGAAAATGATCCAAGAAATTTACAACATCAGCCTAGGTTAGATTTTAATCCGATGCCATTACCAGATGTGCTTGGTACGATCAATCTACCAAAATCACCTTCAACCTTTGATGTAACTAGTATAGTCTGATGGGGAGAAAGAAAACGGTTTATGATAGAGTAAGAATGAACAAATTTATGATCTTGATAGGAACTGCTTTTCTAGCTCATTGTGTCAGAGTGAATGGGTTGGTAATAAACAAATGTTGGGAAGAAAATTCATTCTGGATTTGTGTTCCGCTTACACATCTTAGTCCACCTATTAATGTACCAGCAGCATCTGTACCACCGACAACACCGACACCACCGACAACACCGACACCACCGACAACACCGATACCACCGACAACACCGACAACATCGGGAATTACATCGGGAATTACATCGGGAACATCGGGATTTACACCGACAACACCGACAACATCGGGAATTACATCGGGAACATCGGGATTTACACCGACAACACCGACAACATCGGGAATTACATCGGGAATTACATCGGGAACATCGGGATTTACACCGACATCATCGGGAATTACATCGGGAACATCGGGAATTACATCGGGAACACCGGGAAATACATCGGGAATTACATCGGGAACATCGGGAACATCGGGAACATCGGGAAATACATCGGGAAAATCAAACAACTTGATATACCTCCTTTTCCTTCTTCTTCTCATCCCCATTGCTGCTGTTGGATTTCATAGACAAATAAAAAAAAATATCATAGAAAGAAGGATGAGAACCTTCTTACTCACGAAACCACCCACCTCATGTAAAGATGATCAGGTGAAAAATAAGCCTTACATACCCACAAAAGAAACCCTTGCTGAGGTGAGAGCAGCACTCAACTCAGGATGGAAACCCCCTATTACAAAAAAAGCTGATGAAAAACAAGAAAAGATATATGAGGAAATGAACCATCCCTTAGCAAAACTAAAACAGGGGGCAATTGAGTATGATGAAAAGATAAATGCGGAATTGATCCATCCCTTAGCAAAACTAAAACAGGAAACAGTTGAGTATGCTGAAAAGATAACACGAGAGCTAGAAGTTGGGAAATATATTGTTGATGACGAGATGGTAAATGGGTATGAGTTACCGCTTGATGGTGGTGAATCCTCATCCAAAGCTGAACCACCCGAAGTTGGCTCAGAAACCGATCCCACATCAGTCCTCGAAGTGAGCCAAGATGGGGTAAATGAAAAAGCTGAAGTTGGCTCACTTTCGATTTTCTCGGAGACAGCAAGTTGACTCACTTTTCTGGAACGGGGTTGAGCCAACATGGGATCAGTGGTTGGAGTTGTAAAATTAGTACTATAGTAGTATAGGGGGAGGGGGAGACTTTGGAGGGAGGCCCGAAGGGCCGATCGACAAAGTCGATTTTGGCTCACCTGGAAGGTGAGCCAGAACCCCCTCCCCCTATACTACTAATGTTGTGTTTAGTCACACGGAACAAACAAAAGCATGAAGCGAAAGGCCCAAACCTGGTCAAAGACGAAGCTACCCGGGCCTAAGAAGCTCATCCAATATTTTGATTTCGTGCTTCGGAAACTTCTTCAGCTGAGCACCCTCACAGCTCGCACAATGCGCTCCATTCTGATTTTCACCCACGTTCTGGTGGAACGTGGGTACGGGTGAGCCTCCATACACGGTATGTCGTGAACCAGAAAACGTCTGTACGTGGGTCACTGAGTATCACGTGGTACACACACGTAAAGTACCCACGGACTACGTGGGACTAGTGACTAAACCTCCCTACTGAGACCTCTCGGCCAGTGGAGTGCCAGTAGCCTCACCACTCACCAGCGCAGCTCAGTACGACTGTCCTTGTAGCGACCACCTAACTTCCTAGTCCTTGCTTCCATTACCATTTATTTTGATTTCAGCTGTCTTCGTACGTATCTTACTTCCTGTCCTTGCTTCTGCTTCATCTGGTGGTAACCGGTTCTGTGCTCAAAGTATAAAATAATAATTAAAAGAAGTACTGTAAAAGCCATTATTCTAACGAGGCGCATATATAACGATTTCCCGAAATTGACAAGTTTACGTGTGCCAAAGGTAACGACTCTCACTCATTCTCAACGCTCAATAGGACAGTATATGTATCGATTTCTACTTTAACGACAGATTTCTCCTCGTTAACTCGTTAGAGTTAGCACTTCGTTATAATAATTATGGCTTTTACAGTAAAGGAAGAGAAACAAAAGGTCTACTGCTGGCTGCCGGCTGTCACAGTGGCGTCCTATCCCGGCGCCGCGGCCGAGTGGATCTACGGGCCCGGACATAATGATAATGTGAATGACATCATACTTCATAGTAAAATAAAACAACAACAACAACAACAACAACAACAACAACAACAACAACAACAACAACATAGGCTGGCTAGTCGTAGACAATCGACATCCGACCTCTCTCATGACTTGTACCATGTGTACCAGGGAGTAGTACTACTCCCTGATGTGTACTGTCTGTGTGCTGTGATCTCCAGCGGCAGCGGAGCCCCCACGCCGTAAGCAGTCCACGGACTTCTTGGGCATGTTGCCAGTGCTGGGGTCAAAGATGTAAGCAGTGCAGTGCAGGGCGATCACTCCGGCAGCAAGCAAAGTACAGTCGTTACGTCTTGCGCGTGAAACTCAGGCGAGTTTACAGCGCTAGTACGTGTACATGTACTACGGAATTTCACTTTCAGGCTGTCCTGCCAAATGGGCTACTTGACTGACCCGAAAAAAAAACATCACGAAAAGCCAGTTTTGCACCAATTATGCCGGTCAACGGGGTTTTTCTCTCAACGGGTCCGTCCGGTCATGGCCGGGCCGAGTGCTACGGGCCTGCCATTGTATAACTGTTACAATTCATCCACCGACCTGCAGTGGTGGTGGTGGTGGTGGTGGTGGTGGTGGTGGTGGTGGTGGTGGTTAAGAGTTAGCACAGTCCTATAACTGAAAGAAACAAAAAAGGGAGATAGCATCCCAGACGGCAAGGATAACCATCTTTGATAAACTAAAACAATGTTCATGGTGTGAAGGTATTGCATGGCAAAGTGAATAACAACACTGAGGGAAAGTTAGAACGCTGGAACCAGCCAGCTGAAAGCTATCTACCATAGCGCTAGCACCAGTGTGCGCTCTGGCAGTCGGTGTGCCATTATAGTCTACCATCTACATCTCGTAACTACCCGACTATTCTCTGAACTAAGCAGCTATCTAAACATAACTAGGGCTTCCTTTGAAGAAGAGCAACAAGCATACGTCATGTGGCTATACATTTACATTATTCGAAAACTAAAATCACTAGCGGTAACAGTTATCCGGCTTTTGGGCGAATGATCAAAGACCAATAAGTAACACTGCATTGTCTAGCAGCTCAGCATCAGCAGAAATATATTGATGTCCTATCGAAAAATCTCAAGCTCAAAAAAACCTAGAAAGTGTAGATGTCCATAAATTCTGTAAAGATGTATATAGGACTCAGTATTCAATACGTTGATCGTCAATGGCATACGTTCGCTGGTACTTGAAGTCAAGTGAAGGTACCATACAGACACTACACCGTACATGTATGTATTATTCAGGGATGAATTTATCCGGTATCGCATCGCAGTTTGCTACGCAAAATCGATCTACTGCTACTCAAAAATGACAGTGACACGCAGAAAACTGCCATACATACATGTACAGGCTATCCATGCTTTTTGTAGCTTACGCCACAATTGAGATTTTGCATAGCAAAAACTGCTATGCAAAAACATGACAGTAAATTCATCCCTGTTATTTCAAGTGATGCATCTGCAGCTGAGGGGTAACACCAGCAACACCGGTAGCAGCGCACCAGACCGCAGTGTTGGTAACAGTGATGAGACAGCCCTCTGCCCATGATCACACGCTGTGCTGATACACGGCCGTAAGTACATGTATAGCACAGATGTACGCTAACACTGATGGCGGCGGAACGAGGCTATACGGCGCACTGCTATACTCACAGACCGGTACAAAACCACTCGGGGTGAGACACGTCGGCTTGGCAAGCTTACTATCCACTGCAGCACCGCACGGTGGTTCTTCAATCTTGAAACTGCCAGGCCGGCCAACACTAAACAATACATCAAAGAACAGTCAAACAGTGGACAGAAAGGCTCGGTGCGGGTTGTATGTCAGAGGCTCATGCACAGCCGACACTCTACCTCGGCGCCATGTTGAGCACTCTTTGCACACTGGGTGCATCCCTCATGTTAAAGATCTCATAAAAGAACAGTAAAAACAAATCTGTCAGAGTCAGGACTCCTTTTCTTTTGAATCCCCGCAGTAACACTCACTTGTTTTACATAATAAAACTTTCATTTCTCAACCAGCCAGTGCAAAACAAGGTTATCTGGTTGCATTGTGATGCTGGGAATGTGAGAGATCTATTGGTGGCTGCAGAAATCCATATACAATTGGATACCGACTAATTATCATTGGTAAGGGAAAGTCCCCTCTCGGACACACGCTCGAGGATTGCCTCAACACTGCACGGGACAAAAAGCTATGGCTGGACTTTATTGACAAATGTACATCGGTGTAAAAAAATGGCATGTACTTGTCATGTGCTAGAACCTGTACATGGTTTTTTTCGTATGCTATTCTTCCTGCTGCAACCTATTTCATGATGAAACAGTTGACAGATGCGTGGAACCCATTATTTGGGAGACATGCGACCTGTATTATTATTATTATTATTATTATTCACCTCCAAACCAACTAGTCGCAAGCCCGCGCTGGGCACAACAGTACGAAGTAGTGGTTGCGACTTCGGCGATAATTTGTAAGAAAGGGTTTGCTCCCCACACCGGAGCTCGCGCTATTCCGCCGACTTTACTTGACACTTGACTGACTCACGACTGCCATCCAGAGCACACGAGAAGTCCATCGAACCTTCGACTCGGCAAACCTGCAAGAAAGCACCACTCCCTGCTCAATACACAGTGTCTCACCGTCCAGGAGCGACACTGACTCACGCTGCTATCTGGTGTTCACGAGGTGTTTGTCGCGCTGGAAACGGAGCGTCTCTGTAAGTTTGTATCCCTGGTGATGTTTGTACCTGGAGAGCACTATATAAGTGGTGCTCTTCAGGCACAATCTTCCTCAGCCTACTCAAGCTCAACTGATGAGGGGTGAATTCCCTGAAACACTGTGTATTGAGCAGGGAGTGGTGCTTTCTTGCAGGTTTGCCGAGTCGAAGGTTCGATGGACTTCTCGTGTGCTCTGGATGGCAGTCGTGAGTCAGTCAAGTGTCAAGTAAAGTCGGCGGAATAGCGCGAGCTCCGGTGTGGGGAGCAAACCCTTTCTTACAAATTATCGCCGAAGTCGCAACCACTACTTCGTATTATTATTATTATTATTATTATTTTAATAACGAAGGTACGTGTTAGGTCGTAAGTATCCACGCAAACACACATCCAGTCAAAATAAGGCACTTGTCAAAGTATCCGAACGTTTTCGGTCCCTTCTCATCAAGGATTATACAGGGAATGGCTCAAGTTGGAAAGACTAAAACTTATATAGCGTAAAGATATGAGATAACAACACTCGTGACAAGGTGAAAAAAAGTATCAAGTTCAGCACGACACAAAACTCGAAGGACATAATAATAGCGACAAGAACATAGTGAGCAAATTAAGTTACATTGTTAACACCTCGACGAGGAGTAACACCAAACAATTGTAGCGACAACACATTTTCTTTTTGTACGCAAAGTTCAGGATCTAACTTACGGATATACAAAGCTTCTAACACAGCCAGATGCAACGCACATCTACCACGTGACAATATTGAGAACACATTATCACTGTACAACTCACGACAATTGGTACGGGCTGACAGATGTTGCTTGATGGACGAAGTGCGATTCTTAGCTCCGTTGGGTGTAGTGAGGCGAGATGACGGGACATTGGAGGAGACTACACCCAACGGAGCTAAGAATCGCACTTCGTCCATCAAGCAACATCTGTCAGCCCGTACCAATTGTCGTGAGTTGTACAGTGATAATGTGTTCTCAATATTGTCACGTGGTAGATGTGCGTTGCATCTGGCTGTGTTAGAAGCTTTGTATATCCGTAAGTTAGATCCTGAACTTTGCGTACAAAAAGAAAATGTGTTGTCGCTACAATTGTTTGGTGTTACTCCTCGTCGAGGTGTTAACAATGTAACTTAATTTGCTCACTATGTTCTTGTCGCTATTATTATGTCCTTCGAGTTTTGTGTCGTGCTGAACTTGATACTTTTTTTCACCTTGTCACGAGTGTTGTTATCTCATATCTTTACGCTATATAAGTTTTAGTCTTTCCAACTTGAGCCATTCCCTGTATAATCCTTGATGAGAAGGGACCGAAAACGTTCGGATACTTTGACAAGTGCCTTATTTTGACTGGATGTGTGTTTGCGTGGATACTTACGACCTAACACGTACCTTCGTTATTAAAGTATTATCCGCCTCCGACTTTTTGTAAAATTATTATTATTATTATTATTATTATTCACCACTAAGTGGCAAAAAGCGTGGCCGGCCACCGAAGAAACCACCGGATGGTGTGTCTGCGGGACCAGTGACTCGCTCTAGGGCGAGGTTAGCAGAGTCTTTATCGTCTCCGTCGTTGTCGTCATCGTCGTCGTCAGCGTCTTCCTCATCTCCCTCCTCCTCTTCATCAACATCAACAGCCATTGGAACGTCAAAGGGAGCATCATCGCAGCAGGCAGTGCCAGCAACGGACGTGCCTTTGGTAGGGACATCTACATCGGCCTCGTCTGGATTGGCAGTAGCGGCAAGGAATGTCAGGTCGGTTTCATTGTCACGTAATTCCAAAGTATGTACTGGTTCTAGTAGCGTTGTTAGGGTGTATGAATCTTCTATCGCCAACCATCTTGTTCAGAATAGTGATTGTCGTTCTAGTTATGCTGATGATTGCTTTTCTGTTTGGTCTCGTTCACGTAGTCAAAGGTATTTGCGTGTATTGGAGTCTATTTACATTTTTACCACCAGGCCGATTTTGTGTAGGCAGAAAAAGAATTTGTTTACGTTGAAATTGTTTGTGAATTTAGATCAGTAGTTCTCGATTATTATTATTATTATTATTATTATTATTTGAAACTCGGATGTTGAGCCATAAATATATGTAAAAGAGAAAAGGACATATGAGTTTCAAATTGCACACCTGATGAGCCGTCACGAACCATGCGGCGAAACGTACGTCGTGTGAAACAACTTGTTTTGTAGTCAACTAGTCCATCACAATGTTATGCATGAGGAGTACTGTAGGAGTTTGGCTTTCGGCTTGTACAATTCGTTTTCGCAAAGCTTCCCTTTCTTTACTTATCTTTGATATTTATGACCCACCCAAGTTGGGTGGTGTGCTGCTTTGCTGCTTCGAATTGTAGTTAGACCGCTTTGTCAAATATCGTACTGGTCTCGTCATCGTCCAGTAACAATCGACATTCTTTGTTCCGTTGGGACTGTAGCTTTTGCTCGTTTTCGTTGCGCTTGCCTTCCCCTCTTTGGTCTTTCCATAACCTTGAACCTTCCAAGTTGGAAGGCTGTCGGTTAGCGCTACGGAGATGTGTTAAAGTTAGGTGTCAGGACGTCGAATGTCTCAGTACTCTGTCAGTTTTGTGCCTAGTTATTGCACTTTCTGACTGTATATAGTATCATGTTACAGTGATGGAGAGTTACTCTAAACTCGTATCCATATGTCCTTTTCTCTTTTACATATTATTATTATTATTATTATTATTGTCTCTTTCCCTCAAAACCAGTCAATATTTTATGACTTGGGGCTCCCCGCGTGCTAGTTTGTACGTGAAGTGTGTGGGTTACAGTGAGGGCTGCGTCCCACCCGCCTGTGTGGATTCATAGGAAGTGTGAGTTACGAAGTCTGAAGAAAACGTTGAACGGTCTCTGCTTGGATGACGACTACACCATAGCTCAGTGGTTAGAGCGTCGCTGGCTACAAGCGAGGGTCCCTGGTTCGAGTCCTGGTGGTGACAGTCAGTTTTTTCTTCAGACTTTTCCCGTTTGTCTCTTTCCCTCAAAACCAGTCAATATTATTATTATTATTAAGGGAAAGGGGATGAGTACAGCACACATCTGGCCCACCTCTGTGAAACGAGATGTTTCACTCACCAGGTGCTGGTCAAGGTCACGTAGTAATGTACTTCCTCCGCCCAAGCAAAATTTTCGCTTATCTTTACAGTTTTTACTGATACATTCCAGGTTTTCAGAACGGCTTATAACGACTCAGAATGAGTTGAGGAGTCGTTGAACATCAAGAGAAACTCTCCAAGTCGAAAAATGTAGAGGGCATCCTTTGTCATCAGCCGACGCAGCACTTGTTGTCGGGTAGTACTTCGCACTTTCCAGAAGCGCAAATATTTTCTATCGACACTTTTTTCCCAAGCGCTTCACCTCCTTCACGAGTACGATCGGTTGTGTTTCTTTCCAGCCGAAGCTGGCGAGCTCAGTCAGCGTCGCTTTGCTGGACCGTTCACGTTGACATCAGGCGAATGAGCTGGGCGAGTGACAACCCTGTCATCGAAGCCTTTCTTTTCCAACTGTTTTGCCCAGTGCCGATTCTGGTTCATTTTGCAGTATGTGGGCGAGCGTCGCTGAGTGGCTTTCTCAGCTTCAAGCTCGCGTGCATTTTTACCGTACACACACCTTGAGCAGGATGCAATCAAACACACTAGCTTTTCGCAACATGACACCTCTGCTCTGTACTCCAGTGCCAGCAGTGGTACTCTAGCAGCACCCACCTTGACTGGTGACTGACTTCGTGTCTTTTTTACCAGTTCACTCGCATTCAACGTGCTCTACTCTAGATGTTTCTTTACTCTTTGCCGACTTCGCCGACTTGTTTGGAACTGGTACGCCTGAACGAGCAGATTTGTGTGATGGTGAAGTGCACAAGATGCAAAAATTGCTGTCAGACACCTGTCATTGGGCTGAAGGAGATAAGCGAAAATTTTGCCTGGGCGGAGGAAGTACTAGTTTGGTTATTTATTCTACTTGCTATAGCCAAGTACGTGTCACTGGTGCAGACGTGGGTGTTCCTATTGTGTTGGAGTCAGTTTTTGCCTTCAGCCTTACG